AATTTTGAGCACTTTTTACTGATATTTATTTACTCTACATTTTATATCTAAGAAATCAAAAAGTATTTTCTTGATCAGCAGATGTAAAAGCTGTACTAACTTTCAAGAAGTGAAAAACAGAAAAAGTTGCCTAGCAAGTAATACTGGTCTACTACATTAGTATGAATTTGTGTGCATAACTATAGCAAAGTCATAGTAAGAAGTTATAGTGACTAAATTCATTTTCACTGCTGTATTCATATCTTTCATATACTCTTGATGCCAACTATAAAACTATTATGCATAAAATAATGTTTTCCGTTCATTTGCTTGTAAAATATTGAGATAGGCAAAAAGATTTATCTAAAGAACTTAATAATTTTAATAAAAATTTGGCTTCTTCTAGGTCAAAGTTCATCATCATTTAATCTTAATTTCCACATTCTTAAATGAAAATACAATGTGTTTAGTTTGGTACTAAAATAATTAGTATAGAAATGAATATTAAATTCATATTACCTTCTAAACTGATAATAATATCAGTAAAAGTGCTCAAAATCCGAGTTGAAAAATAATATTATCTATTATTATCAGTACAGCTTTTCAGTGTTATTAGTACTATTAGTTGCGATTTTTGTGCGACATGAGATCAGCTACTTTTATGCTTAATGAAAAGAATTACTGTAAAATTAATTGTTTGTCTGTAAATTTAAGCAATGAATTGATTTTGTGTAATTTAAAAAGGGAAATCTATAAGATTGATTATTACTAGAATGAAATACTAAAAAAGGCGAAAATGATAACATTGAGAAAAATGAATTTAAAAATTTCACTTTTCACGTAAACGGGTCACTTCTGAACGAGTATCTATCTGATGTGTACTCATTTGACCATCTCTTTGCTGCTGAACATATAGCCAATCTTTCAATCTTTTACTTTCTTACCAATTTAACTGTCAACAGAGTTCATCTTTTCATTCTAACGTTTATTTATCTCTTTTTTCTCATTCTGATATTTAATATGAACTTGTTCTTTCATTAGGAAAAAACAATACTTTCATGGCATGGAAAGAGAGACATTCATAAAATCCTATACATACTAAATGGTATTACTCACAAAGAAGTGATAAAACTAAATACAACTTTAATAGATATTTAAATTGACACACGTATCAGCAGCCAAGAATACGTGTAGCAAGACTGGAAAGAAAACCTGCAACGCAGAGCTATACAAGATGCAAAGTAATAAGCTAGCTTACAAGGGCTGATTCATTGATGTGTATGTGATGCAAAGATGGGATAGTAATGAGCTTGCATAAACACTGCGTGAAGGAAATCAGTATATCGGGTCACGTCAAGCATATATCTCCAATCAATAATGTTCAAAAAAAATTTTCTAAAGCATCTCATTCGACCATCGACGTGCATATACAGATGAAGCAACAGAGTTCAGCGCAATGGAGCTAACCATGGCATATTGAAAATGTTTTAGCTTATATCTACTGATTATATATATGAGAACAAGCGATATATGCATTGTTTCGATTGTGAATAGTAATCTTTTATTTATTTGAATATTTTTTAATTATTCAAATTGGCTAGCGTCTACATTCACTTCATTCTTATGCTTAGTTTTTGAGATCATTTACTTCCAAAGTAATTCAAGTTTCTCAGCTGAATTTACATTTCCGCTTGCTTCATCTTTGATGCAAATATAATTTTTCTTTAGGAAAGAGAACGAAAGTTAGAATGTAAAAACATGCAAGCATATAAATAGTGAATTCTTTTTTTTCGCAGTAGCATAATTCTGAGTAACAGAAACAGAATACAACTTAAGTCCCTTCAGTTTCGGATGACAACTTTTCCCTATTATTTTGTAATTAAGACATTCTAGCTCTTATATTTTCTCAATTCAGAAGTTATTCTAAAGCGATGGAATTTACTCTCCTTTCCAATATTTCTAACTTTTACTTGCCCACTCACGCTTGCTAGCAAATAAATATCTTGCTATGCAGTTATGTCGTCTAAGTGATGAATTTACGTTGAAAAAAGTTCATTTCGACTTAAATAGCGCAATAAATCGTTCCTTCATTCATGTCT